AAAACCCTAATCCCTAAACCCTATGTCTTCGGGTTGAGCTTCATGGAACTGAGGACCGGGCATGTCGTTCCGAAGGAGCGCCGGAGCCGATTGCGGCCTGGCAGTCAAGGGTTTCGAGCCGTTTAATGTAGGGGCCTTAATGATAATATTATGCTTGGGGATCCTTGTTCTAAGTATACTATAAAAGAGCCCAAAACCCTATTCTAATTAATGATTTGAACAAGGTTTTGGGCTCCTATGTAGAAGACTTATAATGAGGACCCCTAAGAATAATATTGGTGAGTATAATGGCTTCTGCATTATGGCTTTTCAAGTCCAATACCCTGGGCCCCGATGACAGAGAATTAGGATGCTGTTGTTGGAAACCTAGGCAATAAGGCTGCTTTTCGAAAGCTGCGCCGATGTCGAATCAAGATTTCCGACGTAGCCGAGGCTTGTCAGTCGCGCCCTCATGATTTGAATAGCGCGTTGGCGTATGTGCTACAGTAAAATTTGACATCGACTAATTATAAGGGGACAGTGTTGCGAAATACCCAGACCTCGAAAGTTAGATTGAAAGGTCTCCGTAAGTCCTAGTATGTGGAGCCTCCTCCGCATTGCTATTGTGGATGGCCCATCCTTCCGCCTCGGGTAGCATAGATGCTTCCAGGCGTCGGTGGGGGTGGCGGCGGTGGGTCAAGGTATTAGCAACACGATGCGATGCTGGCGGCGAGGGTGACGTTGACGACGAAGAAACGAATGTGATTACCAATGATCCTGATGTACTTGGTACTGACGACGAGGAATCATGCTGACGATGATGGTGATGGTTATGATTCGGCGATTCGGTGGTCATGGCGATCGTGATGGTGATGATGCTGCTGATGATGAAAAAGGCCATCGTTGCAAAATCTGTATTTTCAACCTGATCACCATCACCATCATGATCTTCATTATCATAATTCAAGTCACCGCCGTTGTTATTCGCACCAGCACCTTCGCAAGCACTACAACCACCATCATCATCATCACCACCAGCATCATTGTCATCATCTTCAACATCAGCAACAGCATCATCCGCAGCCTCAGACAGCAGACCATGTTGATGTTCAAACAGGGTTTAGGGCTTATCGTTTTCGTCATCATCGTTGACACGGGTACCATAGCACTGAGATGCAACCTTCACTTAGGGGCTGAGTACCCTAGCCCAAAAAAGGTTAACCTTTTGAAATATAGTAGGATTATAAGAGCCCCAAAAGGTTAAAGGTTACCTACTCAGCCACTAAGTTCACTAGTCTCACTCTGACAGACCATGGCCGCTGCTGGACGTTTGGCCCGCGCTTCGGGGCCGTTGCCGAGGCCTGTGGGGGAGGCGCAAGTCTTCATGCGCAGCATGATTTAGGGGTTCAGGGTTTAGGGTCCAGGGTTTAGAGTTTAGGGTTTAGGGGTGATGGAGGGTTTAAGGGTTCAGGGTTTAGGGTTTAGGCGATTAGGGTTCAGGGTTTAGGCTTTAGAGGTTTGGGACTTTGCTAGCTACGGCTGCTTCCTGGGCTTTCAAAACACTATTTGAGCGTTGTGCCTCGAGCTTTCATGACTTCCAAGGGACTTTTGAAGATCTCCCTAAACTTAAACCCCAAACCCTAAACCCTAAACTCTAAACCCTAAACCCTAAACCCTAAACCCTAAACCCTAAACCCGAATTCTTCTTAGGGCCTTTGAGGACGTAGGGTCAAGCTGCGATCTCCAGCATGTGCAGCCTCGACCCGGGAGCCTTCTACCGAAACCCTAAGCCCGAAACCCTGAACCCTAAACCCTTTAGGGTTTGGGGTTTAGGGTTTAGGGTTTAGGGTTTAGGGTTTAATGTAGGGGCCTTTTAATAATTAGAATAGGGCTTTGGGGTTCCTTTAACGGGTTTCTTACAGGGCTCTATAAGGGCTACTATAAGGGCGTAGGGTTTAGGGGTCTTAATAATCAGAATATTGGTAATTATTAAGGCTTCTATATTAAACCCTAAACCCTGAACCCTATCCCGAAGAAGGGGCTTTAGCGTTTGGGGTTCAGGGCTCCGGGTTTAGAGGGCAGAACCCCTGAAACTGGCGAGCTGAGGACGTCACTGGCCGCCAAGGGTGGCTGCCGTTGCCTCCGTGCTTCTGTGGGTTGGCCTTTAAGCCCTCTGAAAAATGTGTATGTAAAGGGTCCCTTATAAACCCAAATATGGAAAATAAAAACCCTAAACCCTAAACCAAAAACCAACCTAGTTCTGAGGGGTTTGCAAGTGGACGTGATCAGGCTCCAGGCCTGAAAATGGGTTTGGCCCCCTAGAACCCTCTGAAAAATGCTCGTGGAGAAGATCCTCCTAAGCCCCACGAGGGAAAATAGGAACTATCTAGGAAAGCTTGCGCTTTAAAGTTGTGGAGCCCTCGTGATCAGTGGAGGAAGGACAGCTCAAGGTACAGCACCGACTATGAATTGCACCCGCGCAAGCCTTTCATACGCAGACAATCAGCGCTCATCACAAAAAGAACAGGGTCCGCTGAAGACGCGGTCTAGGCGGCTTCTTGATCACATTGCCACAGAAGCATGCAATCTTTGTAGCATAGAGGACCGGTGCCGGCACTCGGACACCCGATGGAACATTGTAATACATGAGGCAGAGCCGATTGGTAAGGTTCTCGATCATCTGCAGAGGCATCTCAGCCTTGTTAAGCAATACCGAGTAGTGGGTTGGGACAGCACTGCCTTTGCCAATGGCCTGGCTAATCATGTAGAACTCCGGGGTTGGACCCGGACAAACTGCAGGGTCATCCACAACAGTACCTGGATGAGGGTTCCTGATGTTCCCCTCATCACTCTTGAAGATCCGCATGTTGGCCTTCCTTGCAATGCCGAGCATCACAACTTTGGGCACATATCCTTCCCGGAGTTTCGCAGCGGCATTCAGGACTTGAAGTAGCGCCTGCACCTCAACCGCATCCACCAGCGGCCATTCCTTCTGGTTAACTGATGCACGATACACAACTATAGTCTCCGGCAGGATGCCATCATTGCAGTCAGTGAAGGCACTGAGCGCATCACGGAAGAGGCGCTGCAATTCCACTGACAAGCTGGTCCAACACTTTTGCACGGGTCCCTTCTCCAACTCGGCTGCCATGGAGTAGTACTGAGAGAAGACCTTGTCCAAACTCGCACAGATGCCCAGCCACCGAGCTCCCTCAAAAGTACGGTAAACCTTTGTTGAGCTTGGGTACATTTGCAAACATTAGAGCTTTAGTTTGAGCTGTTTCTTTGGGACTATAGCAACCAAACATTTAAAGCTTGTTTCAAAACCCAAGTGCCCCTGAGAAACCCTTTCGAAGATTAGGGCTCAGGCTGTCTCAAGGAAGGATATACAGCGGTAAGCACGAATTTAAAACTTGTTTCCAAGCTCACCCGAAAGACCCTAAACCCTAAACCCTAAACCCCAAGGAACGTCAATGCCCAGGATCATGAAAGGGCGCCTCTTGAACTCAAGGAACAAGTCATCTTCCGGCTCCTGTACTATTTGCCACAAGGCTCCGCCAAACTTCGCATGGATCTGTTGGATGACCTGCTTGGGGAGTGAGGCGTTTAGGGCTCAGGGTTGAGGGTTTAGGGTTGAGGCGCTTAGGGCTTAGGGTTTCAAGTTTAGGCTGGATGACCTGCTTGGGGATTGTCTTGCCCTTCCCGAGGGTTTCGCTGCGCACCACCTGCGAGATGCAGGGGTAGTGCTCACAGGCCAGCAACTTGAAGGAAGTGTATACCTGGGTTCCAGTTTACTGGGCTCCCAACTGTAGTTAATATAGGCGCCTTAAAAAATTAGAATAGGTTTGGGGACCCATTATACTATAAATATAATAAGGAACCCCCAAAATAGTATCGGTCATGAAGCGAAATTCAAGCTGATACGGCCCCTATATGGGTAGTTCTTTAAATTAGGGTCCCTTTTAAGGTCCCTTTTAAAAGGGTGCCGTACTATATTGGGGACTCAAAAAGGGACCCTACTTTGGAGAACTACATCTGAAAGTGTATCGTATAGGAATTAAAAAGTATCCCAAAGTGCCACCTGGATGCGTTCCTCTCGTATTTGCCAGAAATGAGCAGCATCATCAGCCTGCCAAGCAGAGATCAGGCAAGATGCTGACAATCATAATGCAAGTCGATAGGGACTTACCAGGTTAAGGAGCTACAAAAACCCGAAACCCCAAAAAATCGATGCACAGGCGCCGTGAATCCCATGGTTTGGCGGGTGGAAATTGGCTGAGGGGGAAATTAATGCTCAGCTGCACTCGGAAACGCCATAATGCAGGGATTCTCAACATCCAGGGCCCTTTGCAGGACCCTAAACCCTAAACCCTAAACCCTAAACCCATCTCCGGAAGGAATCCTGACAGACTCGAAGCCCTAAACCCTGCACTCCCGTAGATACATTTCAGGGTTTAGGGTTTAGGGTTTAGGGTTTAGGATTTAGGATTTTCAGGCATTCCAGCTAAACTTGTCGTTTCCCGTGAGGGCTAAAGTGTATTCCGATGCGTCGGATCACCCTTCTGCCGAATTGAACGGCAAACGTTTAAGGTTTACGGCTCAAGGGGTTGATGGATTTAGAGGCTTAGCCGTGTTAGCTGCTGGTTTTGGTGGGGTTTAGGGCTTGGGCTTCGGATGCAGGATTTAGGCTATCCACATCCACACAAATCCAACCGCGCAAAATCAGTGTCAAAGCCAAGATGCTGGATGCTCGGGGTCTTATGCTCGACTATCTTCGACTGGAGCTCGCCGAAAGGATCGCGATAGCAAACCTTGCGGAGACACACAAAAACGCATTTGTCGCATGTAGCTTCTGAAAGTGTAAGGATAGCGGAGAATGTCGAAACTCTACTGAGCCACAGGCCTTTGTGGGCTGATTGAGCTTGCAGCCGAAGGCCACCTTAGCCAAGCCGCGGATCAAGGCCACGCAGGTTCAGGGTCTGGCCCGTTACGCTGGCTGCCAATCTTCTGCCAGCTATATGACTAAACTCAGAACAAAACGCTCGAAGAACTTGTATTGCCAGCAAGCGTCCTGTGCGACATCACGCAGAGACTTTAGCCAAGTGTCCACGACTTTCTCATCTGTCTCCGGATAGAACAAAAGCCACTGATCGATCATAACAGGCCGCTGCACGCCTCTTATCGATTTGCCAAAGCTACCCTCCTCAATAGCAGACATCTGCTTCGTCGAGAAACATACTTGCAAAGGCTCTAGTTGCTTTGCTTCTACCTCGAGAGTCTCTATGGGCTGTCCCAAATGACAACCCCAGGCATTGAGCGTTTCAGGAAGCTGCTTCTCCATCTCCTCACCATGACGCACGATCTCATTGTGCCTCTCCATGGGAGAAGCTTTAATTTGCTTCAGAACTTCACTGAGGGCAGTCTTCTCCTTCCGCATCTCGTCTGTAACACCCACCGGACAGCAAAACTCTGGCAGCAAAAACACTTTCTCCGTGGCCTTCTCTGGATACGCTTCCAGGATTGGCTGCTGCTTGAAGGTTACAGTTTTTTGGTAGTACTGGAAAAGGTAATCTGCATAGGTATATTCCTGTGCACCTCCCCCACGTACATGATACTGGAAAGTTTGAGAAGGATTCATGTCGAAATGCACTTGCTTTATCCTGTACACTCGGGAGTTGTAGTTCGTCACCACCGTCGCGGAAACGCAAAGTCGAAGCCATTCTGCTCTGATCTCTGGAAGTGCCTGGAAAACATCTGTGCCTTCCATGGAACCTCTCAGGACTTCTACGATACTCTTATTGGTATTGGCTGGCTTGTGCAGGACATCAAGTTGCAGTAATGGCCCAGCACTGCCCAGCTTGGCAAGCTTCACAGAATACCCACTGATGACACGGTGCTGTCCCTCGACTTGCTGGCAGTCGTTCTTGTAAAACCGCTTTCCGACCCTCTGTATCCGCCGTTGCCCGGCTAGCTGGTCAGCAAGGTGCTGCCCCACCACGGAAGCCGGACCCATCAGACCATCTTGAATCTTCTGCACGCTGATCTCGGTCACATGGCAAACATCTACTTGCCCCCCAGACGCGTCGCTTACTTTCATCGGGAACTTGTCCACTTTGGTGGGAGAGAAGATGCGGCCCGGTAGCAAAACCACAAAATGAGACAGGTTTTGCTTCAAGTCGGCCCAGCCCATCTCAAGCAGCTTCCGCTCAGAATGGATCCAAGTCTCCGGCAGTTCATACCCATACTGGTGGATGCTAGCCGTCCAGTTCATCCGAAACAGATTCACCCTGACTTTGAACGTCTTTGCTGCAACATCTCCTGGCATCTCTTTTGCAGCTGTGATGCCATCCCCGCGAGTCGGAATCAGCTTGTCCTGGGACATTGGCCTTCCGCAGCACAACAGCTGAGGCCGCGAAACCTACTGCTCGGCTGCAAGGCATGATAGTGCTGCTAGCTGCAGCAATGAGCCACGCATGGCTGCATATGGGAGGTTCCGAAAATAGGGGACCCTTATATGGTACCCTAAATAGTAGGATCCTTACTATAAGGGCCCCAAAATAAGGTACCTAATTTTCGGAAACTCCCACATGTCGTACTCCAGAACCGAACCCTAAACCCTAAACCCTAAACCACTCCCATATGGTCATCTCAAGTCCGTGGGGTCGACAGACCTTGACCGCAGCCGGGGCCTGATCATCATTGCGATTTTTCATCACAACAGTGGTGACAATAAGGGTTTAGGGTTTAGGGTTTAGGGTTTAGGGTTTATCATACGCTGAATAATCGGAATATCCGTAACGATACCGATTAGACTAGGGTTTTTGGGGACGTTAAGCGACAATCCACAAAACATCGCAAAACCTTGTGTGAGGAAACACTGGGCCCCACAGCGTCCCTGTCTGTTTTGGGGGCCCAGTACAGTACACTGAGATGGCGTATCAGGAGACATGTGCTTTGATTCTTTGTGTTCCGACCACCGCATGACCCTACTCAGAGGAAGGTCCTCGTTGGTGTCGTGCGATAGAGCGCCACAATCTTATTCGGGGTGCGATACATACTATGATTGCCAGTTCTGTCTTCCCATTCATCGAAAATGTAGGTAAAAGCTGCTGCTGTTGCTGCTCAAGACCAAGGCTTCGATCCTCAGAGAAACAGATAGTGGTTCACACTTTGTAAACCCTAAACACTAAACCCTAAACCCCTAAACCCTAAACCCTAAACCCTAAACCCTAAACCCTAAACCCTAAACCCTAAACCCTAAACCCTCATCCCCAAATTCGTTCTGAGGAGACCAGGGGCTCTGGCTAACCACTCGGCAGAAGCTGGCCGACTTCAGCAGGACCGTCGCGCGTGAGGCCTCAACAGGAAGGGAGTGATACCAGAGTTATATAGTTTTCAGGGTTTAGGGTTTAGGATTTGGGTTTAGGGTTTCGGGTTTGTTTGCGGGAGGACTCAGAAAACTTGGGTTGGGGTTCACGGTTTTGTGTTCGCTTTCTGCTGCAGATCCTTTGCCCACTCCGATCGTGAGTGTGGGGCTGCCCCTAAACCCTAAACCCTAAACCCTAAACCCTGCCAGGCTATGAGACTTATGGTCGTTGAATTTTGCTGGGCCATCAATCTCGGGCCTGGTGTAGCCGAACGCAGGCCAAACTCTAAATCCTGGTCTAAACCCTAAATCCTAAACTCTAAACCCTTAAACCTAAACCCTCTAGATCCTAGTCCCAAACTCTAGGTCCTGGTGTTCGGGAGCTTACATCGAACATCACCGGACGCCGTCCTGAAAAGCCCCGGCTTTTTGTTGCAGTATAGGGGCCTATATTACTTGGAACAGAGTCTTGGGGTATATTATACCATAAATATGATAAGGAAGCCGGTCCCCAAAAAACCGCATTGGTCATTATTTAGGCCCCTAAAACCCAAAAACCCTAAACCGAAATCCTAAACCCCAAACCCAAAAACCCTAAACCCAAAACCCGAATCCCGGAAAAGAGGGCTTAGCAATGCGCGCTGAGCCCTGGCACCTAAACCCTAAACCCTAAACCCTAAACCCTAAACCCTAAACCCTAAACCCTAAACCCTAAACCCAGGGTTCGGGGCTTAGGGTCTCGAGCCCGGACTGGAGAACATCGCACATCACCGAACTTTGTCCTGCATTTAGGGTTTCGGGTTTAGGGTTTAGGGTTTAGGGTTTAGGGTTTAGGGTTAAGGTTTAGGGTTTAGGGTTTAGGTTTTGCAGGGTT